CTATTTTATATAAATGTTTTACGCGAATTAATTATTAATTATTCTTACATTTTAGAGCTCTAACATTACATGGTTATATCAAAGTAAACATGTATGGAAAGTTTAAAAATATATAGAATTATAATTACTTTTAAAATTATTATTTTTGGGAAAAAAGAACTATGTGTAAACAAAAAATCTCTGATATTTATCAATAAAGTTAGGATAAGTGTGAATAAGTTAAAAATTCTTTTCAAATTAGATATTATAAAACTAAAGTATTTATTCTAGTATGGATTTTTTACTTTATCCATTACGCATGATTTTTTAATAGTCATTTATTGATAATTTTCAAATATCTGTATGGATCATTAAAAATCATTAGTACCTATATCTACGTCACACACAATCTTATCAGCATTCAGTAATTATCAATATGGCTTCCGGTCAATAAACGAAGCCTTTTAAATTACTAAATCAGTGATATCGTATCTCAAACGCCTTAATAACGAGGAAGAATTAGAAAAGTCAACTAAACCAAACATCAAAAGATGGCGGCACATGTTCAAAGCATCTCAGTTACGAAACGATGACGCCATTGGGCAAAAGAAGGTAATTTTGGTGGTAAAAAAATTAAGTTTAAATAGTTTATCTTATCATTTCAACTTTTATGGAGAGTTTGCCTTGAACAAATAAATAATACATAATAGATTTTTACTTGACTGAAATAGGTATTTTTTACAATTTTTAACTGACTTCAAAAAAGTAGGAGGTTCTAAATTCGACTCAAAAAGCACGGTTAGTAATTCCTCGCCCGAATTCAAATAAAGTTTCTTGAAGAAACTTTCAAGCCTTTAATGTTTTTATGAATTATCTTTTTAAAATCAGTTTTAGTTTATAGATATAATATTTCTTGCTATTAAAACTTGAAATTATTTACTTTCTATCGTTAAGTAATATGGCTATGTTTCCTTATTGTCTACACTACGTTTCTGTTCACTAGGTCGTGATGTCATAAGTTATTACATTTCTAGCCTTATCTAAATGAAATTTTAAGTTGACATTCTTAAGAACATAGCACAGAAAAAAAAGAGCTTTAGAATAATATTGATAGATATTATTTTTGAAATATTATAAAGAAGTAAAATTTCTAAATTTGCTTGTTTTGTAAAAGATAATATTCGGAAATGCTGTTTTTTTCACCTACATAAGCAACATCACATGTAGCTAACATTGGCTAAAAATTACGCGAGCATAGTCGCGGGAAAACAGCTAGTTTATGATATTCATATTGCAACTAAGTACTACTTTGCGAGTTGGTGATATAGCCTATATGTTCAGAATCTAAACGATAACAGAAACCTTGGCGTAAGTTATTTATCTGACATTAACTGATAAAATATAGTAACGAACGTGCGAAACTAAAGAAATCACAATCAGTCATTTATTAAGTATGGTAACGGTTTCTGTATGTAGTTGATCGGTAGGTAGAATTAGAACGAAAATGATCGCATGTGGATCGAATTTGTATTCGAATTACTTTGTCTTTCTTTTTTCTTTTAGATTCTGCAAAATTCCGAAACCGAATTCTAATTAATTCTAACTTAGACGTCCGAGTTCACTTCAATATCCGTATCCTCTCAACCATGAATTGGTAATAACGTTTCGTGTAATATGTGAAATGAGTTTCGAAATGACATAAGAATAGGATATCTGAAACATGTATAAATCAATCAATCTTGTTTTATACAAAAATGGAATCTATTTTCTACACTAAATGACGTGAATCGCACACATAAGTAAAATCGAATACGCGTTTCGATTTTTAAAGAATCGCTCTGCAGGTAGAGCAGTGGTTCTGCAGTCGTTTATACCCAGCTATCCACATTGGGCCCGCATGGTGGCTCATTCTCACTATTCGATTCGATTCCATCCATAGGGAAGGCCTGAGCCTCAGCAGTGGGAACATTAAAAGAATCGCTCTGCAGGTAGAGCAATGGTTTTTTCTTAGATTTACGTACCCACATGGTAAAACGGGACTCTGTTAATAAAACTCAGCTGTCTGTCCGTATGTCACTAGCACTAGGCTGTATCTCAAGAACCCTGATAGGTAGATAGTTTATATTTTCTCAGATGATGTATTTCTGTTGCGGCTATAATAACAAATACTAAAAACAGAATAAAATACATATTTATATTCCCATACAACAAACGCGAACCGTTTTTTATATATAATGGTATGGAACCCTTCATGCGCGATTCCGACTCGCTCTTGGCCGGTTTTTATGATCCATTATATTAAGAAAACCGATTTCTGTCTTAGCAAAATTCTTTAAATACTATTCGTTATTAATAATAGGAAAATCGATATATATTAATTTGAATAGCTAAAGTTATTTCATTAAAAGGAAGAAAAAAACGATATTCTCCCACAATGTCACGAAGTCACGACCTATTTTATTGTTCAAAGATCACGTTTCAAAACTGTCAAGCGTAATTTGACATCGTACAATTAAAATAAAACCTTTTTGCATTAAAAATTAAGTATCTTTTTATGAAAACGTATATTTTTAAGATATTTCGGTGGGTTTGATTATTTGTTTGTTTGCATAAAATAGGTACCGAAACTATTTTTTTAATTTAAGAAAAGTTGTATCTATTTCAACGCAGAAAACTATGTTGCGAGGGAATGAGATTAGTTCAAATTTTAAGAAATCCTTCAACAAATCTATTGATTTAATTAAATCTCCAAATTACCACCTTTAGTGATTTGTCTTTGCTTACACCATACTGTACAATCAAGTACATTGAGGAACGTTTTAAATTCCTTCGCGATATGAAGTCCTCTCTTGAGATCATCAGAGAACTTAAAGTGAAGTTAATGCATTCTACAAAACTTCAAAAGAAGTTTACAGTTCAGACTGTCCGACTAAATTACCAGAACACATTAAGCGTGTACAATCAATGTTTTGGTAAATTTTGATAAGCAATACGGAATAGATAGATATGTACCTCCCATCTGCCGTAAAACATATGGATAGACCGTTGAAATGTGTGTCAGGTGCGTAATCAGTAAGGGGACCCTTTTTAATATTATTCCTTCACTTAGTGGTATTTTTTGGAACTTAAAATCCAGGAAGTACATTTCCACCTCTAATATGAGAAATTTTACGAAAGTTGATTAATTTTTGCAACACAGACCGAACACGTAACCCACTACACCATCGTACTGCTCTAAAGTTTAAACTCCATATGACAAATATAACAACGAAATTAGTACAAATCATTGTTGTAATTAGTTCATCTACACCTTTTATACTTTAAATTATCTGCTCATCTTTGTGATTTTTATAAGAATTTTCTTTGATTAATAAATAAACATGGAATAACTGACATTATTTTTTTATATAATTTGTTCGGGCATTACGTGTTCAACCAAAATTTCAGTCAATACAGTTCCTTCTGTTCTAAATTAAGACTTTTTCGTTTAGAATTTTTTTGAAGGAAACTCTATGAAATACCATGGGAAAGGAGTGACATTTTTACATCACATAGGTATGACGTTTAAAGGTTTTTACGCTTCGCTGACTTAGTATCGACTCTTACCTAAATCTAATACGTATATTTTAATTGAGAAATTAATGTATCTATATTTATTTTTTGCCGTGGTGACCGTGATGCTGTGGGTCAAATCAGGCAAGATAAATTTGACCATAGCATGTTCTCCCTATTAGATTCGATTCAATTCTATCCATAGGGGAGGCCTGAGCCCCAGTAGTGGGGACGTTAATAAGTCTGTGTAGATAACAAGGTTATTCGAGCTCTCTGATCCAACAATATGTAGTCCTTTAATAAAATGATAATATTTATTTTTTTAAATTTCAACAGTCAGTTCAAAACTAAAAAATACTGGTCCAAATTTACTTATTGACTTAAAAAATCTCGGTTTTTAATACAATATATATGCAAATAACTTCGTGAAAAACATCGTTCTACTATTGATTTTAGTTCGTAATCGTACGGAAAAAGGATAAAAAATTGATAAGATTCGAATTATTATATTTTATTTAATCCTTTTAATGTTATTAAAAATTATCATCATCATATTGAAATTCACCTTATACAATAATAATATTTACAAAAGGTCGAGATATATTCAAAACTTTGATTATTATAATGAAAGATTTAAAATTTTCTTATTAGTTGTGATATTATTCAATATCTCTTATTCTTTTAGAAAATAATGCTTACGTATAATTTTATATCAGTAATATTATTAATAAAATATCACTAAAAGACAAGGTATCATTTAATCTATCTAAAAGATAAAACATAATGTTATCACGAAAGAGCTGAACTGATAAACAAATTGTATTATTAAGACGTGGCTACGTTATTTAAACAATTGTTTTATATTTATTTAATTACTTGCTGCCGCTTCAATTCAATTATTTTTAACAACAAAATATTTTACAAACACCTCTGTAGCTTAATTTGAACGTTGTTTTCATTGCTTTATTATACCTATCAACATTCCAGAAGACAATATCATCAGAATCAATATGAAGGATATTCTTCCTAAATTGTTTTTGATCTAGTTTTTTAAGCGTTTACGTTTTGACGTAACTGATTTCATCTTTAAGAATAACCTAAATAAACGATAAAATATTTATTTGTAATATTACATAATTAGGTAACACATTCAAGTATCTTTTAAAAGGAACATAACTACAAAAACATTAAAACTGTATAATTATTTTAAAATAATCATACAGAAATAGTCTTATGATTTCACATGACAAGGACATACCAACACACATGGCATTATGGGATTTAAATCTGGAACCGTTAGTGGTTTCGTACAACAGGGTAGATAAACCTTCTTCTTATTATTAAGGTAATGATATCAGATATAGTTAAGTTTAACAAGAAAATTAGTCTCGAAATCTGTCTAACTTATTCAAATAGTAGAAAGTAACATTTTTATTGTATCACAAATAAAATAAAGCAGTATTACTTACGCAAAGAATGAAACGATCCAAAATTATCAAGTCCACAAAACTGTTTAAAGCACCAAAAACAAAACGCATTCAACTTTTTTGTTGTTTTAAAAGTTGGAATATCAAAATGGCCGCCGCGTCCGCCCCGGTCTGGCGCGCGAATGTGAATACGAAATTGAGTTTTCAAAATCGTAACGCGTAGCATCCAATTTAGCTTGATACGTATGTTGGTATAACTATTTTTCCTGTCTTACCGTAGTTTGTATAGAGTTTGTGCACATAGAGTTCTTTATAAACTGGACGTTATGAATCCTTACAAAGTTCTTTAGATTATTATGATAGACGAAAGTAATCTCTAATGAAACGTGTTAAGGTGGTATTGCATAGGTTTGGCATGTAAAAAATATATTTGTAGATTAAGTATTACGTTAAAGCACTGATAAGAAAAAAGTTATAGAGTGCGTTTAGAACACTTAATTTAATATGGTAAATGAGAAACACAGTACACTAAATATTTATTTATCAATCACTTACATAGGATATGCGTGACATGGTCATTAGACTAAAATGAGATTTTTCCGTTAAGTAATATGGTTTAAAATGGAGTTATCATTAAATATTGCTGTGCTATGCGATGATTCAACAAAAACTATTGTTAGGCTAATACTAGATGAGCCTTGCGTATTTATATTATTAATTCTTCTAATGTTCTACATGGTAAATCATATTATATTCTCGTATATATGTAGTGTTTAATGACTTGATAATAATGTTGATTATCTTTTGTGATAATTATATGAAATTTTCAAGCCGCACATAGCATCTACCATCACACAGACCTTTTGTAAAAAAAAATTAACGATATTTTTTTTTAGGAATGGTAGATCAAATTTTATTTCTTTTTAATATAGAGACCCAACTCGATTCCACACAGAACTAGCTTTTAATATAGAGCGTGTGCGGGACTGTATATTATAAAAATTGATTAAGTAAAAGAAAAAAAAAACATTGAAATATACCTATATACAAAATAGAAGTGTGGCAAAATGCACAAGCCGTGCCTGCCATATTATGAAAGAAAAAAAAATAATAGAAGTGAACATTTGGCAACCATTGACTGCTATTGGTTTTACAAATAATAGAGTGAGAATCACCTCTAAAATTTTCATTGCATTTCATGATATGCATATATTTTACAGAAAAGAATTAAGTAATATTTCGGCAATTTGTAGTTGAGGTTCAGTGTTAAAGAATTATAATTATTGTTATGTTTCATTCATACAAAATAGACCTTGACACTATCTATACTAATAAGTCTCATTGGTTTCTTTTCTTTTTTTCGGCTGTCTTCTTACTTTCGCTGCTAGTGAGCACATTTATAATTTTTTACATGAAATAAAACGACTGAAATAAATATATAAAAATATGTTTAATTCGCGATTTAAATTAAAAAGGGCTTTGATTATGTTTTAAAAATTTTATATCAATACTACATGGTCAATGCAAAATTTATCAAATATACCTATTTATAATAAGGCGAATTTTTTTAATTAAAAGATCAACCTGTATATAATTTGATTGCGTTGCACACCTGTTGTATATAGGGTGGTGTTGTACGAGTGTGCATATCTCACACAACATTGTGCGATGCAAGCCACGCGTGACGAGCAAGGAAAGCTGCTCTACCTCACCATTTAACCGACTTTAAAAAACGATATTATCGAAATTGTAAAAAATATACGTGTCGGCCTGTGTGAGTTTTTATTCACTTGTGTCATATTTTTGAGTGCATGTATATTATCTAAGTATAGATGTATATAATATACAGCTATACCTACATATCCATGTAGGTTTTTCTCGGAAATAAAACATTGGAGGGCAATGGTTCCTTTTTTTATTAGCTTTAAATTAAAGAACAACACCAGTTCCATAAAAAATGTTCAGTAATTTTAAAGATTTTACAAAATATTTAAATGTCTACTATTAAAAATATTCGGGTGGTTTAAAGTAGGTTTTAAATCTCGCCTCGCTTTTTCAAAAGCGTACTATTTCACTTTTATTTAAGTTTTTGAAGTTTTTATTAAATTCGAATAAGAATTTTAGAATAAATAGAATAATTTTTGAAAAATATTTATGTATGTAATTATGTTAAAAGGTACAGCATGTCAAGGATATAGGTATTTCCTTGCACTAAAATTATGACAATAAATTTGAGATTCGTGTCCACCACAAAACTATGATCAGTGAAATGTGAAAATAAAGATGATTTTAATAATTATATTTCAACAATTTTACACCTTCACAACTGTATTGATAAATACCCCCATTTAGTCCTACCGTACTGTAACGACCGTGCACATTCCCATAGGTAGGTTTACTCTCCGGACGATTTATGCTCAATGCTGGCCGCTAATATTTTGAATTATTATTTTTTTCGTGTTCGAATTCGCGTGTTCGTATTTTAGTGGTTGATAATCTTTTTTTCTGATCGAAACCGGCATAAAGTCAGTCTGTAGAATTTACTTATAAGTGATTTGATGTATATAATTTGCAAATAGAATCGAGAGTTTGAAGAATTATACAAAGATTTCATTGAACTACCCTGAGCTACTACTGATTCCATCATTAGATATAATGTATGGTGACTTAATAAAAATATTTTGACATAACCACGAAATGATAACTTTTCTTTTAGATTTTGATGATGTGGAATATAACAATACGGTATTGCTAATCGTTTTGATATCATATGTGAAGTTATTTTTAAGTTATTTTTTTACAATCATTACAAAAAGGCAAGTTTTGTGTTATTTATTATAATTTACTATGTTATTTGTATTTTATAAAGACCGGGGTATAACACATATAAAGAGTTAAAATATATTTATATTTGGGTTACATTAGTAATAAATATCGGGCTCTAAATTAAGTATACCTTATATGGTATAGTAGGATCATATGTGAGTGAAATATCTGCAAGATACCAAGAAACTGAAGTCCAAGAGCTTAGTAAGGTTCAAAAACTTCTCATAATAGTACCTACTTAGTACTACTACTAGTTATAATTAAATTAATGGATTAGGTTAAAATAAATTAAAGTAGAGCAACCTTCGATGTACATCGGAAACACCGGTAGAGTCTTCACGCATGGCAGGTTAACACATCACCCCTTTTGACCGACCGAGCGAGCACGGTTCACGTATCACGATGGTTTAGCGGTCGTGCCACAGTTCGATGCCCGATTTAGTCTGATGAGCCCATTACTAAACACACAAGTCACTAAAGTGTTATATACAAATACCTAAATGCATCATCTTTACGTTCACAGAAAAGATCTGAGCAACATTTTATTGTAATCAAGATTTTCTATTATAAAACAGTATTATTACAAAAAATAAGGATAAATTGTGGTTTTTATATTTAACTTTGTATTTTTTGGTATCGAGAATTAATTTCATGTTTTCAGTCTTAAGTCGCCATCTTTCAAGCGTTTAAATAAGATAGAGGCATGTTGACAAATAACATAGGGAATAGCGTGGTTTTCGTAGCTCTAACAATCATATCTAGTCGAGAAAAGTAATTACTTGCGAAAATTAAATTGAATGAAGAAAGAAGCCTTAATCTTTTACCTTCTGCCATCATAACTATCGACCTCCTTTATCAATATAGCTAAAATTGTCTTATGAAAATTAAAAAAAAATATATATATGAGCAAAGCTAAAAATGACTGTACAAAGTGTCAATGAAATTTTTATTCCATGTCACTGAGCGTCTATTGAATCACACAATTTGATTTTGGTATTAAGCCATTTTGGATTGGAATGACTACTCTAAGAATTGAATTAATTCAATAGAATATTCTTTATAATAACCTGCAATAGATAAACAGAGAGCGAAGACATCCGTTAAGTAAGCATTGCTTACTTCAGGGATGGTGATTATATCAAAAATAACTAGCTACAAAATTGCTATAAATATTTTGAAGGCGTGACTCCAATTTTTTTGGGTAAGTAGGTAATAATGGTGTTCGGTTGACGTATAATTCGAGAAATTATAGCGATTTCATTTAAAGCTGTTTATTCATAAAAATAAGGAAGTTGTTAATCAAAACTAAAGGCGTTAGTTTAATAAATAAAAAAATATTTGAATTAATATTATACCTGCTGAATTTTTATTATTAACAACTCACAGCAGTATATAAATATAAATAATAAAATTATTAGCATAATTATTTTCGAACCCTATGTGTTATATAAAATATATATTTCAACACTGACGTGAACTCGTTAACTATGATTTATAGAACGCAAACGATTATAGATCTTCGAAATATAGTAATTGCTGTATTATCGGAACAATCAAAGACATAGATCATTAACTATAGTTATTTTGGCGTGAGAATTATATGTATCGTAAAGTAAAGTAACCAGAAACAATTATATTATGAAATCGTGAAACAATGACGATACCATCATCATTCAGACTCAAAATGACAAACCAACAAAAATGTTTTCATGTAATGGTGCCAAGAAGACATTACTGCTCCTGTCTAATCTCTCTAACTTTACCTACGAATGGTCAAGATACATATACATTTTGACTAAGATATAAAAAAACGGTTGTACTGCAAATAAAGGCGGATCCAGCTTTGGTGCTAGGGGTAAGGGTCACACAAAAATATTATGCATTTTATTAGTAGTCTACCTAGGTCCTGGACACAGCCCGGGGGGTCATGAACTTCATGACCACACCCTGAATCCGCCCCTGACTGCAAAAAAAGTTTCGTATGAACTTCAATTTTGAAGTCAGTTGACAATTTACTGGCTGTACCTACATTGTTTTTATTATCATAATTGTTCAGCATTTAATTTTTTGTTTTTGCGCTCTTTATACGATTGTTCCACATCCTTTGCGTCACTGTTACATTTCACAAACGCAAGGTTGATCTCAGTTCCCACAACAATTTGCCTGCAATACGAGATGGGTATATACAGCGACCCGTTCGCTTTGATACTTGATTACAGTCGAGTGTGATGTGAAACATACTATTTGTTTTACACCAAAATACCTCAATTTAACGGCAAATATGAAAATGAAAACACATTTCATATATACCTTTTCATATTACCAATTCAATGCGCATATAGACTTAGTCACAAGAAAAGCCTCACAGATGCTGGGTTTTATAAGGCGTAACTCGAAGGACTTCCAGAAAATTGAAACCA